TGGGCAGAGTTTTCTAGGGAGGATATTGTCTCTCCTCCCTTGAAGGATTTAGCTTAGAAACTGTCCTAGGGCTAGGCATTGAACCTGACTCCTGGGATGTCAGAAACAGATGTAAACTTTCACCTGGAGTGAAAAGTAAGTCAGAGAATTAGGATCTTTCTAAAAAGGAAGATTAAAGTGACACAAAGCATTGAAATAATTTTCTTAATTAGGTTTATCCAGGTGTGGTAGCTGTGGCCAAAATATCCACATTTTGGAAACCTCACTGAACATTGATCAAGCTGAATTTGTAACTGAGTGACTGAATGAACTGTGCTTTTTCTGCAGCAGTTGAGAATTAGGGAGGGTTTTAAGAGGGCTCTTTCACTGTTGACTCCCCTCAGAGGAGGAAGCAGTGTGTTAGATTGCCTTCAGGCACTAAATATCTGCCTCACCACTGAGTGTGGAGGGGGTGGGGGACAGGAGGGCAGAGATGGGCTGGAGAAGTCAGTGGAGGATTTGGGCCACATAAGCTATAGCAGGTGAAGGGGATGATGTGGGACCTTTGAGTCTACTTTCTGCAAACTGAGGGCATGTATTTGATAGAGCACATTTCAGGAAGATGTACAGTGGGGGCACTGGGCCACTGAGTGTTTGTCAGAGATTTAGGGGACAGGTGGGCAGGGGATTCAGCAGAGCTATTAAGGGAGGCCCAGAATTTGTACCTATGCTCAACTCAGCAACCAGATAAACCTGACTACAGGGGACTTTTAAAGTCTAAAGAAGAAGTTTGATGGCTCTTTTCATATAAAATGTCCTACTCTTTTTCAAACAAGAGTAAACATAACCAAATGTTGGGGAAGGTGGCGGAGAATGAAAGCCAGGTTAGGACACTTCTTAATACTCATATTTATTGAATACCTGACACCTGGCACACAGCACTATACCCAGTCACATGCTCGTTGAAAAGATTTCTCCCCCTTTGGGATTTGTAGATACTGGCTACCACATATAAAATAGATAAACAACAAGGTCACTATATAGCACAGGAAATTATATTCAATACCTTGTAATGGCTTATAATGAAAAAGAATATGAAAAGGAATTTTTATATAAATGAATCACCATGCTGTACACCAGAAATTAACACATTGTAAATTGACTCTGCTTAAATAATGATTGGGACATGATTGTCAGAGTAAAGATACAAATTAAAGTTTGTTAAAAATGGTTCTACCAGATACTTGGGTGGTGGGTTATTATTGAACATCAAGAGTCACCACCTCCATTTAAAAGCACATGACACCACAACCAATAAATATTTACTATTTTGTTTGTGAAGACTGATGGATAGACTTTTGGCATATATTGATGCAGAGGACATTAGGGCCATTTAGTTCTTCCATTTATTTTACAGTTGGAGAAACTGAGGTCTAGGAAGGCGAAGGGACTTATCCAGGCATAAGTTAAAAAAATTTTTTAATGACTCAGGGTTATCATGATTGCAAGTAATTCCTCAATCTAATGGTCTTTTGCTTTCACCATATTAATGAATCATTCTTCTTAAAAGAATGACTCACCAAGAGCAGAGCAGACTGACTGGGAGCTTTCAGGACTGCACTGAAACCTTCCCACTCCAACCACAGCCAGGTTGAGTGCTACAGACCACTCAAGAGGAGCCCTGCCCGGATCAGGATAGGATAAGTGAGTGCAGCCACCTGGCATTGCCCTCTAACCTGTCATCACCAAGGGGTCTGCTGCCTTATCTGACAACCCCTTCTCTTCTTCCTTCTCCAGAGCCAGCCTGGAAAACAGGTTAAAGAGGATGACCCTAGAGATGAAACAAGGAAAAGGAGCTAATTTGGAATACAGACATCCTGAATCCCAGTCGTTTATGAATCCCAAATTGCCAGACATTCCTTTGAATTTGAAATTGGATGAGATTGAAAACAGGAGTCACTTCCTTTTGGAAATGCCTTGCCTCTTTGTTCTGCTATGGTGGCATCAGAGGCAGTGAATTTTGAGAACATGGGAAAGGAGAGAGAGAGAGAAAAGCTCTGTGTTGCCTGTAAAAAGATTTCCATCTCCTCTAATAATCAGCCAAGGGAAATGCTGGGCCTTCTGGTTCCCTGGATCAGATTAGTTGCTTCTCACCCTCAGGAAATACAAAATACCTAGATCTAAACAGGTAGACTGAGACTTTGGCTGGATCCTCCTGATCCCCCACTCACTTTGACAGGAAAGGATCAGGAATGATGCAGCCTCAAGCAGGAGTTGAAATTCCATGCCCTTGGGCCACTGGTCTGTGTTGCGGAGGACTGGAAGGCAGTGACCAGGTAAAGTGGGTCAAAACTTAAGCATGGGAGAAAGGCAGGAAGCAAGGTGGCACTATGACCCAGCAGTACTTCTCAAACTTTAATGTGCATATAAATTACTTGGGGATCAGATAAATTGAGATTTTGATTCAGTAGGCTTGGAGTGGGGCCTAAGATTCTGCATTTCTAACTGGCCTGCAGCTGGTGCTAATGCTGCTGGTTCCTGGAACAGCAGGCTTTTAGAGAAATGGAGAGGCCCCTGTGTATTGCGGACCAGGCCATGATCCCAGGATGTGAATTCTCTCCAGCAGAGCAGATCCTGCATCTTTGGCATTGATAAAAGGTGTTCTCCTTTTGACCAAAGAGAGCTGGAAGATGGGCAATTAGCAAGATCCTTCTGGTACTCTTGATCTTTGTTACAAGCTGAAAGGGCATTTTTAATTAGACCAAATTATCTAGTTTGGCTGTCCACGGACATCAAAGCCCCAGCTGAAATGTGTTTTATTTTGTGGGTGTAGACATGGCTATGTGCTGTCATTTTTAAGATGTTAAACACTGCCTATGGGCATATTTTATGGAGAAATAAACACATAGCCCAATGAGATGTACAGTGTGGTTTTAATATATTGTATATTCATTTATTTATGGGGAAAATAAACACGTAAGCCAATAAGCTGTGTATTATTACTTTAATATATTGAATTTATTTCATACCTATATATTTTATGAGGGAAAATAAACTAAGATACACGATATTATTATAATAACACATCTAATTGTTCTATATTAATATATTTATGAGAGAAATAAATGCAATTTAACATGACATAAGATTATTTAATGCAGGAGATGAATTCTATATTAAGACAGTTTAAGGGATTAAATTCCAGCTGAGTAAGATGTGTGTACTTCCCACACTGAGGGACCAGGTAAAAAAAATGGCAAGGGCCTGTCTAGTCTATGTGTCGCGACCTATGTTGGCTCCTGGCTTTTCCTAGACAGTTCTTGCCTCTCAGAGCCTAGTACTTCAAGTCCCGGTCCTGCTGGTCCAGGGGAAAGTCTGGGAGGCCCGGGAAATAAACTGCCTTTAAATAATGGCAGCAGCTGCTGGGGAGGTAGCCTGGCGGTGTCTGTTTCTGAGCCGGAGAAATATTAAATAAACCTAAGGAGGATGGATGGCTTTCCAGGGCCCTTTAAATCTCCACGTTCCTCGGAACAAACGAGGAGGCAGATGGGGAGATCGATCCTTGCTTTTCGCTTACCGGGTTTGCAAGCAGCCGGGCAAGGTGTGGTGGGGGATAGGAGACGGCAAATGAAGTTGTTGGCAAAGACAGGTAGGTCTGCATTTGGAGAAAGCTCTGGCCGGGCTTCAAATCCCAGAGCGGAGGCTCAAAAGTCAGATTCGGCAAGGCAGACCGAGGCCTGCAAGACCTGCGGCTCTCCCCCTCCCAGTCCCACCCTCTCACAGACTCTTGGTCCATCTCGCGTCCTCAGCATCCGTTGGGCTCATTTTTAAAACAAAACGAAAACTAAAAGGATGCTCCCTGGCTCCCTTTCTTCACTGGCACGCGGATGATCCGGACAGGTGAAGGTGGGTGCGTGAACGATCCCTGGGGCTGGACCCTGCGCATCCCTAGGCGGCTGTCATGGCGGCCACAGTCTCTTCCTTCGCCCTCCCTGCCGCCCGGCCCCAGCGCCATTTTGAGCATCTTCCTTGCTTCCCTGTCTCCCTCCCGCTCTCTTCGCTCCTCCTTCGCTCCCTGCAGGCCAAGAGCCTCCCAACGCTGCCCAGGCTCTCCAGGCTTGTTCTCAGCATCTCCTCGGACCCTCCTCCCAAACCCAGGAGCCCTAGCGTGTCTGCGGAGCATGAAGAGCGCTGGCGTTCGTCCCGCTACATTTTCCAGTCGGGCTCCTTGACTACTTGGAGCCCAGTTACCATCCCTGGGTATGGGCCCTGCTTCCTCAGAAAACCCCCGACTCCAATCCACTTCTCTCCACTCCTTGGCCCTGCCTATGCCCCCAGGCCTCGGGTCCCCAGGAACCTGCATTCTGGAAAAAGCCCCTCCACCCCTCTTAGGGCACAGAGGCGAGAAGCCTAGGAAACCCTGGCACCGTTCCCAACCCAGGTGAACCTCCGCGCCTCTCTCCAGGACTCCAAAACTTGTCCCCGAGGCCTCCTCTCCTTGCACCCTCTTCAGTTAGCAGCACACTCTCTCCTCCACCTTTATTTCTAAGCAGGGCCAAAGGCCCTCTGTTAGGGGGTGGCAGCAACACCCCCACTCTTCTCAGAGCTGCGGGTGGAGACGTGGGAGGCCAAATGGGGCTCCTTTTGTACCACCCGGACTTAGCCCGCCCAGGGCCAGACAAACCTGGCACTGGCCCTGAGGGAGTGAGGACCGGCCTTAGAGGGTACAGGGGATAGGGGCTGGGTCCCAACACAAACACTTATTCGTTTTTGTATTATAAAGACATTTATTTAATCTATGAAAATAATGTACAATAAATACTTTCCCCTTTTCCTATTATTAAAGAATTTCAATAAATAATCTACGGTCTAAAACTTTAAAAAAAAAAAAAGAGAGAGAGAGAGAGTGAGGAAAATAGGTTCCTCTAGTTCTTTTTAAGAAAGCCCCCCTAAAGTTTAATTATTCCTGAGATTTCGTTGGAAGGACTTTACCAAACGGAATTTTTCTGTGTGATTTTTTAAAAAAATGCCCAAGTGCCCGATATTTTAGAGAGAGAAGAAAAGAAGAGGATTAAATGCTAATTCAGTAATACCTGAATTTTAGCAAAACAGATAAAGAAGTCTATACGGCTTGGGGAGGGGGATCCTCGGGTTTCCCATAGGCAGCTGAAGAGGGCTGGGGTCGAGGGCCATAGGGGAGGAAGCGGGTTATTAGGGGAACTGCAGGTCGATGGCACAGAGGGTGCTGGTGAAGAAGTCCAGCTCTTCCTCGGAAAAGGGAACCAGGCTTTCGAGCGAGCCCTGGAGGCTGGGGGAGAGGCCCCCTGACAGCTGGAGACAGGAGTCGGCCGCGAAGAAGTTGAGGTCGGGCAGGATGGGCGAATCCTGCCGCTCCGGGAAGGCGTCTTCCGACAAGGGCTCGGGCTCCCGCCCTCCGGCCCCGCGCAGCGCGCCTCCGGGGCTCCGCGCGCCCGCGCCCTCCACGCCAGCGGCCAAAGGCCGGGGGTCCGGGGACCCCGGTGCGACCTCGGGCGGGTGACAGCAGGCTTCTCGCGCCGCCCGCGAGGCGGAGGGGCGGCCCGGACTGGCCACGGGCTCCTCGGTGAGCTCGCTGGTGTCCTTCGGGGCGGCGGGGCAGGCCGGCTCCCCGTCGGGCGGCTCTCGGTGCTGCGTCTGCCGCTTGTGTTTCATGCGACGATTCTGGAACCACACTTTGACCTGCCTCTCGGTGAGGTCCAACAGGGCCGCGATCTCCACGCGGCGCGGCCGGCACAGGTACTTATTGAAGTGGAATTCCTTCTCCAGTTCGAGCAGCTGCGTGTTGGTGTAAGCCGTGCGCAGCCTGCGCGCCCCGCCGCCCGCGGCCTCCGGCGGCCCCGGGCCATCTGCAGGGAAAGCAGGCTAGGCGTCAACGCGGGCCGCGTCCTCAGCCCAACCTCAGCCTGGCTGAAATAAAGACTCCCCCATCCGCCCAACAATATCAGCAGCATCCCCGGCCCTTCCCGCCTACCAAAGCTGCTCTCTCTCCCTCTCGGCTCTTTGGTTCTTTCCCGCCCCGCTCTCACTGTCAGACACGGCCCCGGTCAGGGCAAAGCATTCAGAGAGCCGCCGACGGGCCACGCAGTGGGTAAGGAGGGCTCCCTTTTGCCCCCAGAACCTCAGAACCCCCTCCCAAGTCCTCCGAGTGGACCCTTCAATTCGTCACTTTCCAACTCAGCCTCGGGAGAGGGTTCATATAGAGTGTTCCTCGCCTTCTTTCCTCCCTAGCTTCAACCCCTCCCCCCCCTTAGAGCTGCAGTAGATGGGACCGAATCTTCTCCTGCTTCCAGATTACAACACATTCTCAGCAACAACACATTCCTCCACACAGATAAAGGTGAAAACCTCAACCGAAGCCTTTTCTTCTAGCACGAAGAAAAAGAAAGAAAAAAAAAGGTCCTCCTCAACCAGCTTCCAAAATCTGCTGTAGAAGAAAATAAAATGCTAGCAGCGAGAGGCCAGGCCTGAAACCCATGGGTCTAGTCTGCTTCCTCGTCCCTGCAATCGACGGGGGAAAGGAACCCCAAAAGGCTCGCCACCTTTTCTACCACCCCCATCGCTCCTTCTCCCCACCTCTTTCTAGCTGCCCCTCACCCCACCCCTACCCTGCTTACCGACCTGCGGGTGATCCGACCCCGGAGGCCGGGACGGAGGAGGTGGCCGGGGGAGACGTGGCGGATTGGCTGGGTTTCTTGGCGGATTTCTTCTCTTTCATCCAGGGGAACTCGGGGGCCAGGGGAGCGGCGGGGAGCGGCGGCGGCGGCAGAGCGGGCCCATCTTCGGCTAGCTTTTGGCTCCCGGGTCTCTGAAGGGTGGAGGCGCCGGGCTGGAGGCTGGGGAAGGTTTGCTCGAAAGGAGGAGGAGGAGGAATTAATGTCGACTCCTTGATTGATGAAGTTTGAAATGTCTCCAAGACAGCGGGGAAGGAAGTCAGACACTCGGCGAGCGATGGCTGGCTGTTTATAAACCCAATCTCCCTCTCAAATTCAAAATTCATGGCTTTCAATGGTGGGGGAGGGGGCCTGCAGGGGGGGCGTCAGGAGGGAGGATCGGAAGGGACCCCCCCTCCTGCCCCCCCCAGGTTTATGTGATGGAGCTATTTGGGGAGGGGAAGATTTTGCTCTTTCTTTTTTTTTTAATTTAGGGTCTTTATAATTGTATATTGCTGATAAATACAAGCGTATGGAGACTCTCTCTATTAAACCCAGGACGCCGGCGAAATTGCAGGGAATTCATGGTCACGGGACCGGCCTTGGCCAATCGCTTGTCTGGGCCTGGTGGAAAACAGAGAGCATTATTTGCTTTAATTGATTCAAAAACTCTAGAGGACCATGACCTGGACACCATGAGCCCCCTAGTCCTACACTCCCTCTCTAGTGCCTCCCTTTCTTCAGAATAGCTAAAGAACCTCTTTCTCTTATCCCCTGCTGAGGATGGGAGGGTCTGGAACCCTGGGAAACAAGAGAACCTAAGAGAGAACTCTTCCTCTTTTCCAAATAATTTAATAGAGTAAATTAATGATTTCATTACAAGGTCAGCATCATTCCCTTCCCTTCCCCTGATCCAAAAAAGAAAGCTGAATGAGGATTTGAATGTGGGAGGCAGAGGTAGTAGAACGAGGCTTTCCCCCTTTGGAAAAGGTCTGTTTTACCGTGCTGTAAGGAAGAGATTTACAATCATCAGCACCACTATGTCCATCCCACCCCCCCCCCCACCAAAAGCAACAGATAAATCTTGGAAAATCGACAAGCACTCCTAGGCTGACACAGAGGAGTGAGATAGATAGTGAGAAGCGCTTTTGGGCCTCTGGCCTACATAGCTGTGTGGTCTCAGTTCCCATCTCTGCCCAGTGTTTGTAGCACTGACCCTGCTCCTCTGCCTACCTGCCCTCCTCACCTGTCCTGCACTCCTCTATGACACCCACAACAGATGAGTTTAAGATGCACATGCACCCACTCAAGCCTCAAGCCTGTATCTGCATCTATATCCAGGGACAGGAACCAGAACCAAGGTAACCACTGATTTAACTTCAAGAACTTTCAAAACTCAGGTCAGTGTATGGGGAGTGGGGAGCTTTCCCCACCTAGGAATACCTCTCCCATTTTTTCTATCATGCAAACAAATAAAACCCCAAGGGTAAGGCAAGGTAGAGGAGGGGGTGGGAAAATAATGAACATGGAGGGGGTGGAAAAATAATGACCACTGAGATGATATTCCATTTCTGGCCCCTGAGGGGAATCTTTTTTTTTAATGTATATTCAGAAGATCAAGATAGTATGAACTTTACAAAGTGCTGTAATTTACTGGAGGGAGGGGACACAAGACTCAGGGCCCCAAGCAATTGGTGGGAAACTAGATCTCAAAGCAGAAAATGAAAAGTCGATCAGGGGGAAGATTTTTAAATAAGTGGGTCAGAGGGACGGAGAGGAGATGAGGCGATCAATCTTAGCCCCCTGACAGCTCCCTCCGATGGCATCAAAGAATTTGGCTCTTTGGGAAAGCAGAGGGAACAGCCGAAATTCCACATCCCTTTAAAAGGCCTGGGGGTGGGGGGTGTTAGCAAAAGAGAAAGGTGATTCTGGGAGAGCAGGGAAACAGATGGGAAATGGGGACAGAGGAAGGGCGCTGGGTTGGGTGGAAAGTTTGTCTGGAGAACTCCCACGGCTCTGGCCTCCCTTCCCCCCTCCCTGCTCGCAGCCGCCCAGCGAGGAGGAGAAGGCTGGTTAGCAGAGAAATGGCAACTCAGCCGGGAGCTGGAACTAGAAACTTTCTGTCAATGTAACAGCCGCGTGGGTGGCGGTGAGTATTCATCCGCGTGGGCGGTGGTGAGTATTTAAAAAGGACAGAGAAATCTGAGGAGAAGGGTGGGGGTGATGGAGAGCCAGGATGAAAAACAGGGGAGTTGGGGGGGGAGCTGCAGGGACAGGGGGGTGGCACGTTCTGGAGGGCTCAGATCCAAGAGAGCTGCTCTGAAAACTGGACAAACTAACCAGAGACGGTTGTGTCCAACTCGGCTCCAAAGAAAGTAATTTTTGCCATTTGGAGGTGCGAATGGGGGTGGGGGTGAGGAGTGGGCACGGAAGACTCCGAATAATTGTTGTCTGGAAGTTGCGCAGGCAGGCCTGAGAGAGGGTTCTCCCTGCGGCCACCCCCTTGAGAAGCCCTGGAAGTTTTTTCACAGCCTCTCCAGCTGCCTGCAGGGTCGAGAGCGCTTCTCTCGGCAACAACTCCGGCTGCCCCTGCAGGAAATACGGCTCTCTCTAACCTTGCTGACAGATTTTACGGCCAGATTAGAGAACAGAAGAAAACTTGGGTGTTAAAAGGGGCCAAGAGAGCCCTCCTTCCCAGAGACACTGCTTCCCCTCCCCCGTCGTGCTGTGAATCTTACAGCCCAGATATTCCCATCTCGACTTTGGCTGCTTAGCTAGCGCCTGAAATCTCTCAGAGAACAGGGTAGGGGACATCAAGCCAAGGTGGCCCTTATTTTTCTTGTTGGCAATTCCAGCTTCAAGCCAAAGCTCTGTTTTTCAAACTCAAGCTAGATTCTCTTACTTGGCCTACCTTTCTCCTGCTAGATAAATAATCAATCCACTCCACCTTCAGAGCCAAACACGGTGCTTCATCTAGTTACATCACTCAGAAAATGTTATTCAGGGAAGAGGAAGAGTGAGAGAGAGAGAGAAAGAAAAACCCTTGAGCATTATTTGATCCCGATCAAACTTTGCACGCTCTTATGCCTTTAAATTATAGCCTGACCCAATGCTAAATTGCTTGCTGCTTGGATGAACCTAGTCCAGTTAAAATCCTACTTGGTGGTGGTGGTGATGGTGGTGGGGAGGGTGTAGAATTCAGGTTGCTTTTTTATTGTTATTTATTGTTGCATAAAGACTGTAATTACTAACCTTGGACTGCCAGGATGCAACATAAAAATGAAAATCAGCCCTGGCTTTAAGGCTGAAGGCCTGGAACGATTCTCACCGACACGCCCCCCCTCCCCCATCACTACCACCAAATATATGCTCCTAATTAAGCAATGCAGGCGCATTGCTTACAATTAGAATTATGCAACTCTTCAGCATACAGCCATTGCTTCTCTTTCAACGAATTAGCTCCATATTTCAGCCGTCCTGTCTCCTCGCTCTTATCGGCTTCAGCGACGCGGTGGTGACATTTCATCTTTGACAGACCCTCTCTATCCTCGCTCCAGTGTGATAAAACTTTTATGGAAGCACGACTAAGAAATGAAGTTTTCCCTAGGATCATGGAAACAGAGCGGCACATTAGCCAGGGGACCATTTTATTTACGCTTGGATCCAACAGCTTTTGCCACCCTCCTCCTCTCCTTTTTCCCTGGCAGGGGAAATCAAACGCGCCTCCTCTCCCTCTGCCTTGTTTTATTTAGTGATTTAATTTCACTTTAGTTTTAAGGTTTGACCTGAGAAGTCTAGGCCTCAGATTTTTTTTTTTAAGATTAATCATTTTCCTTTGTTTTCATTTTAGACCCAATGGTGGTTGGGCTTCAGGTCACGTGACGACTTCTTTGTAGCTCCGGAAGAGAACTGTGAAGTTTAGGTTGCGTGGAAGAAACAGTAATCGGCCAGATTTTTTTGTTGTTGATGGGGTGGAGGGTGAGAGGGGTGAGGAGGTTGTGGCCAAAGGAGCAAAAAGACAAAAGGTCAATGAATGAGAAAAACTGAGAGGCAAAGAAGCCAAACAGAAAGACCTAGAGAGAGCACCCGAGTTCCCCTTACCCTCAACTTGTTAGTTAAATCTAAGCTAAAGAAGTTGGCAGAATGTTCCAATCTTGTGTGTAAGAAAAAGCACATAAACCTGAGACACAGCAAGGGGGAGGTAGGGGCCTGAGCAGTGGACAAAAAGGCCAAGATAGGGTCTTCAACGTCCTTCTTCCCTTGGGAGAAATTTGGCAGTCAGCAGCCTGCTCTGCTATCTAAATTGGACCACCAGGACAAGATAAAATTGATAACAGAAAGTTTATTCAAGAATTGTTTGACAGACAACCCTTTTAAGTAAGGAAAAAAGTAACTACAGAAGAACAAAGAAAGTTCCAAGAGGGAATTAACTCTAATTCTACAAATTCAGGACTATACAGTGACAATTAGGAGCTGAGTTCATGCCTTTTAGAACTAATTACAATTGCTCATAAGTACGAGTTTAACATAAATCTACAGCTCTTTTCTAGAGTACAATAACTAAAATAGCTGGTTTTACATGACAGGGAACACAACGTCCTTTATAACAAGTAAATACTAAAAAAAGTACAATTTTTTCCTTTTTCCCTCATATAAATACATAATGTAGGGGGATAAATAATACAAAAAAGAAAATATTTTAACAGGCTATAACCAATAAATATATATGAAAATGTTCACTAGAACACACACTTTTTGAGCGATGCTAGACTCCTGCAGGCCCAGGCATCTCTCACAGTTGTTTTTATATCCATTAAAATGTAAACTCTAAGTGCAACAAAAGTGTCCTGTTCAGGGTTGAGCAAGGCTCAAAGGCCCAGCTGCAGCCCCTGCCTGGGACAGACAGTTTGTTAAAATATACCCTGTTTTCACGTTAAGTCAAGAGAGCAACAGAAGAAAATAAAAGTGTAGAACCGCGTGCTGCCAACTGCTTTCTGTGGCGAGAGGGGGATGGACCTGGAGCTGACATGGGAGACTGCGGAATGGGCAAACCTTCAGTCCTGACAACTTGCCTGCCCTCACCTCCCAGCTTTTCCATAAATATATATATATATTTATAATATAGACAGCTCTGACTTTCAGGATCTCTCACCATCCCTGAGCCCTCTGAAGACTATAATTGATGGGGGCGGGGTATAGATATTAATGTCCTAGAGCAGGAAAATGTGTGACTAGAAATGGAGGCAGTGCCCAATCAACCTCAAATACATGTGAAGAAATTTGAAGTTTCAGGAAAGTGGGAGGGGGACGTGTTTTGTGCCCTTGGGTTTTTGAAATGTGTTTCAAATTTTTTCTTTAAGGAGAATTGTCAGGAAAAAAAATCAAGATTTGGAAGAATTAACCACAGAGACACAGAGATGGAAGGTAAGTTGGCTGGTGATGGCCTAGCCATCTTGTCTTTTTTTTGAAATGTGCTTCTCTGCCTGTTTCCCTATCTCCTCTTCCTCTATTCCATTCCTGAGGGTGGAATTCCAACTGGGTATTGCTGGAGGCCTGGGGTTGATGGGGTCATCTCCAATCTGCTGTGGATTCCTTTCCAGTGGGTTGGCAAGCAAACTGACCAAGGGCTGCAGGACATTTTTAAAGAGCAACCTCTCAGGCCAGGGGGAGGGGAAGGAGCCCCAAGGCCCTTTCCTCCCAGAAAGCCTGGCTGCCACCTCCCTGCCCCTTCTTTCAGACTCCAGACTTCCCCCCAGAGCTCCACAGCCTCTGCCCCTCCTGGGTCTCCCCTACTCCAGGACCTCATCCCTCAGCCCTCCATCTCCCATCACAGGTGTGTTAATTTGGGCGCTTCTTGGATTCTACCCTGAGGAGGAGGCGCATGGTGAGAGGAGAGGTCTGTGTAGGTGGGGTGGGGGTCGCAGGGTCCGTGGTGCTGGCTGGGGGCCATAGGGGGCGCCCCGTTGTAGTCCAGGTTCCCCGAAGGGTGGTGGGAAAGGTGGTTGAGGCCGTAGAGGGAGGGGCCGGCAGGGGGCGGCAGCGGATCCGCGTAGCCGCCCCCGCCCACGTAAACCGGGCTGCCCTGCATGGTGGGCGTCCCGTAGGCGCCCCCGTTGGCTTGCAGGACGTGAGGCTCGTAATCGGGCGCCGGGGGTCTGGGGGTACTTCTGCGGGGCGCCGCAGCCTTTGAGAGGGGGCTGGTAGTTGGAGGGCAGCGCATAGGCATTCTGGTGGGCTTTGCCGAAGGTGGGCGGGGACGGGCTCTCATAGCTGGGGGTCATGGAGTGCAAGGCGTTCATGAAGCCGGCGGTTGACTGCATGGGCTGCGGAGGGCTGCCGGCGGGGGAGGGGCCCCCCGAAGACGAGGCCA